AGTTAACTTGTGTAGGGTTAATTCAGTGGTTTTCTAGCAATGTTGTCAAATACATGATACATTAACATAATTATGCGAGTATTGTATCATCGATATCGCTCACTCTGATATTGTTACACCCTCTCCTCAGTGTGCCATATCCCAACAATTCACGTTCAACTCCTATGAGGGCTTATCTTATTATGGTGGCTGAAAAAGACTTATATTCCGATATTTTAGTTGATGATATGCGCGCTTTAAGCTACAAGTAAGTGTTGGGACTTAAACTCGAGTTACACTAGTTGATGACTATGTATGCTAGTTTTGATGATTACTTGATGATTATTTGGGCTAGTTTTGATGATTACTTGATGATTATTTGGGCTAGTTTTGATGATTACTTGATGATGTTTTAGGCTAGTTTTGATGATTACTTGATAACTATTTAGGATAGAGACGATGATTACTTGATAACTATTTAGGATAGAGACAATAATTACTTAATGAATATTTAGGATAGAGACGACGATTACTTGATGACTATTTAGGATAGAGACGACGATTACTTAATGAATATTTAGGATAGAGACGACGATTACTTGATGACTATTTAGGATAGAGACGACGATTACTTAATGAATATTTAGGATAGAGACGACGATTATTTGATAACTATTTAGGAAAGTGCTACTAAATGACAAGTACAATTTAGCCTAGATGAGTACGTAACGCATTAGGTCTAAGACATTACATCATCCCAGAAATCATCCACACCCATCATCGCTCCCCTGATCATGTACGCCCCTGCCATGTACCCATTTACGCCCCTGTCATTTACCCCCCTTTACCTCACCACCGCCTACATAAGAGCACTAAAACCTGAGCCTTTTCTAATTGATTCCCGGTTATTAACAGATAGAGAAAAGGATCATCATCATTATTTCCCGTTCGTTTCCAAGACCCATGGTGCAGAGAAAGCAGAGCTAATCTGCTTTAGAGAAATGGATAGTGATATTTTATCATTAGGTTTATGTAGTCATGTTAATTTCCTCAAGCGCTTTAGTTTCCGATGTTCCTACCTCAACGTACCAAATTCGATACCTGCAAGTCTCCTCAGGCTGGCATTCTGCTTACTCCACCAACATGGATAACTTCGGCCTCTATCTCTATGGCTGGAAAGATAGCGGCGCATTTCTACACGCCGTGGGTTTTGTAGTCAAACAAGAGGTGAGTGTTTAAATAAAATTATTATACAATTATTCTTACACATTACACGGGCAGATGAGGCTCGATAGTTGGGACCAGCAACTCGTTTAGGAGAGACAACTCCAAAATCAAACAACTGCTGTTTTGTAGTTTGTTGTTGGTCAGAGGCGTAGCGACGGGAGGTGGGGGGTACATATGTCCCTGGGCGCCGACCCTAGGGGCGCCAAAATACGATAATTTAGATGCTATTTTGAATTATAAATATACAAAATATATTGGTGGGGTGCCAAATTGAAAGTTTGTCCCCGGGCGACGGGAGGGTCGCTACGCATCTGTTGTTGGTTGGACAAAGGTAATAGAATTAAATCCACCAAAAAAAAAGCTCGCTGAAATCGGATTCAACGGCCTATATTGCGCATAACAATATGATACATAATACAAAATTATGTTCGAGTGAATCTCTTCCAATTTTAAAATTTAAAAAAGAAGACGAAAGAAACTAAATTATAATATTATCGTAAGTCACCATAGTTCGCTCATTTGAATTGAATATACTGTATTTACTTTGGAAGCGAAATTACCAGTAAAATAACAACATACGATAAAGTTAGGGGGAGATCACTAGCAATCTATCAAATTATTTATTAATTGAGACCATGTTTACCTTTGAGGTGTGCACGATTTATAAAGAGATGCAGCCAGGAGACCTGATTGATAACGATTGTGATGGGAGTGTTGATGAAGATATTCCAGGTAGGATTTACGTCTAGATTTTTGTTTGGATGTCTGTTTAGTTGTCTGTATAGATGTCTGTCTAGATGTATGTCTAGATGTCTGTCTAGATGAATGTTTATATGTCTGTCTACATTGCTGTCTATATTGCTGTCTAGGTGTCTGTACGTATGTTTGTTGTAATGTTTGTGTAGATGTCTGTTTAGATGTCTGTCTAGATGTCTGTCTACATGTATGTTTATATGTATTTCTAGATGTCTGTCTAGATGTCTGTCAAAATATCTGTCTAAATGTCTGTCTAGATGTCTGTCTAGATGTCTGTCTAGATGTCTGTCTAGATGTCTGTCTAGATGTCTGTCTAGATGTCTGTCTAGATGTCTGTTTTAATGTTTGTCTAGATGTATGTCTAGATGTCTGTCTAGATGTCTGTTTTAATGTTTGTCTAGATGTCTGTCACGATATCTGGCCAGACGTCTGTCTACATGTATGTTTATATGTATTTCTAGATGTCTGTCTAGATATCTGTATATATGTCTATCTAGATTTATGTCTAGAAATTTTTTAAATGTCTGTCTAAATGTCTATATAGATGTCTGTATAGATTTACAACTAGATAGATGTCTGTCTAGATGTGTGTTTAGTTGTCATTATCTCTAAATATCTACATGTCTGTGTGTCTATATGTGTATAGGTCAGGGTGTCTAAATGTCTACACGTCAAGACATGACATAACTTTAATAATATTTTAACAGGTACCAGATCTAATAAAAAAATGTCCAACCCATTGGGACTAACATATCTAACCCAAAACATGGTGGCGTTAAATTACCCTAAATGTATTATTGATTAAATGCGATTTTAAATGCAAAGTATTTTTAAAAAAATGTATATATGTTCCTGAATCAAGCGCTGTGTGGTTTTTGTTATTTGAAAGTCTTCAAAATAAAATTATGACGTAGTTTGTTGGTAAAATGGTGCTGCTGTATTAAAAAAAAAACAATTACATTATTTAAATACATTGTGACATTATATACACGTTAAATATCTGTTTAATTTGTTTTTCGATTAACGCATATGTCATAATATTTTGACTCTGTGAATTATCTAATTATGTCGAAAAATGCTTTATTTTTTACATGTTCATATTGTTGTTGTTAAAATAAAGCTTTATTTTATTGTGTTGACGAATGAAGGCCCAGACACAGATCCTATGAAACGAAACGATTTTAAAAGGGGAAAAGCAGGTTTGTAAATATTTTACAAACTTTTAAAGAAAATACAATGTTCTTTTTTATTAAAACCTTGATATTTTTTAAAAATTCGCTAACTAATCGTTCCATTAAAAAAACGAATTTGTTGAGGGCCAGTACTGAATTGGTTGTAAAGTTAAAAGAAAAAAAAACTACATGGTACATGATGATGGTCTTCTATTATATTAGACAATTTCTGATTATAGGTTGCAGACAATTTACAAGTGTGTGTGCTACGTAGATTAATCTATGAAGGAGTTTTAAAGATTTGCATACATGCTCGTTAACATTTTTGTATTAATAGAATATATATATATATATATATATATATATATATATATATATATATATATATATATATATATATATATATATATATATATTTGTCTATAAAAGCTTATATACTTACATTTATATATTCATTTTTTTATACAGCTGTGGTGAGGGATAATTGTAGATGGAGACGTTGTAAAGTCATATGTCTGTTTGTCTGTGTTCGTTAGCTTTCATCGTTAACGTACTGCTACTTGCAGCGATTTGGTCTAGAGATTTGATAATACAAAACAAATCAGACATACGTTTTTTTTAGATAGGATCAAAATATTGTATGGAAATCACGTCTGTGTATTTCAGAGGACGGTGGATGGGGTGAATGGAGAGGATTCACCTGTGTACCGTGTTACGATACATTTTATACACTACGGTAATGATCAATTGTTTTATTTTTATTCATAATACTTTAATGAGCACACGAATATTGACAAAGAGATCTATTAGCTAGACTTTATCCATCGTATAAATATAAAATAATTTCAATGAAAACATAATGTCTAACTTCTAAGGTATAAATTGCTGTATGGACTACTAGATTTTACTTTAAGAAGCATTGTTTCTCTAAACGTCGGTTAACTAATAACACATTTATTTTAGCAGACGACAATGTTAAACATAAATTTTAATGTATTCTTACATTCATCATCATCATTTCCCGTTCGGGCCGTTCGTGTCAAAGACAAAGAGTGTTTCTTCCAGACTTTTTTCTCCGGTGGGGGGGGGGGGGTCACTTGATATTTTTTTTGGGGGGGGGGTGGGGGCGGTCAACATTTTCCGGGGGGGGGGGGACCAGACACTAGTAAAAGTATATGTTTACTATATAAATTCCATCTCGTTCGGGGGGTGGGGGGGGGGGCTCCGCCACCCCTAAAAGATGCCTGAAAGAAACTCTGAAGACAAATGAGGGAGATGAAGTCGAGTTCAGAGAACTCAGCCTATGAAGGTATAGCGTAGTCAGCGCTTTTTCAATCCGCCTTAGTTTCCTTAATGTGAGTTAGGAACCCATCAAAGCTGGATGGACTCAGGGACGTTCCTCTTTATTAGAACTCGAGACTCATGGGTTAGCAGTCTAGCTCGCTACACCGTCACTGTTATATTCAATAACAATTTAAGATCGATTGTATTATATGATTATGATTTAAATCAAAGCAACTGTTTCTAGTCGATCATGTGACAACCCAGCCCCACAATACGAGGGCAGGAAATGTGCAGGCTATGACACGGAGAGCAGCCAGGAGAAATGTGATAACTGCTTGATGAGTGAGTAGTGCTTGCTATGTGTTGTTATTGGTAGTCCTTATTAGAAGTCATCATTAATTAATAAAAAGTCGACCTTAGAAGTCGCCTATAATAGACGTCGTCCTTAATCGAAGTCGCCCTTAATAGAAATTGATAGAAGTCGTCCTTAATAGAAGTCATCCTTAATAGAAGTCGTCCTTAATAGAAGTCGTCCTTAGTAGAACGACTTCTTTATAGAAGTCGTCTTTAATATAAGTCGTCTTTAATAGAAGTCGTCTTTAATATAAGTCGTCTTTAATAGAAGTCGACCTTAATAGAAGTCGTCTTAATAGCAGTCGTCCTTAACAGAAGTCAAACTATTGGAAGAGTTTAACCATTTCTTCGTATCATCACTCAAGTTAACTCTCCTGTTCAGATTTAAATTGTTTTAACAACTGTTGATATTTACTTGAAATTATCTTCAAAATGTGCGACAAAAACAGGTGTCAAAAACATCCTCGATAATAATATATATATTTTTTTTGTAATTGAAAGTAACTTACTGAAAGTAATCGGGTACAATAAACTCCGCGTTAACAAAATAATCCTTAAATTGTTAACTTAAGCGCCATGCCCTATTGGAAAGTATGGACCATCCTGTGAGAATGTGTGCAGACACTGTGCAGGGGCGTGCCACAAAATCACAGGAGAGTGTCCGGTGTGTTCGAATGGCTGGACAGGAGTGAGATGCACGACACGTGAGTATCAAATGGGAACATTTAATAGTGTGTAGCTTAAAATTCTGCTGTGTTTTCTTCGGGGGGGTTGGGGGGGGCACTTGAAATTTTCGGCGTTGGGGGGGGGGGGGGCGGACTAAAATTTCCGGAGATGGGGGAGGGGAAGGGAAGACACTGTTAAAAGTATATATTTTTTTATATAAATTCAATCCCGTTTCGTTCGGGCAGTAGGTGTAAGTCCCCTCCCCCCCCCCCCCCCCCGATAAGATCAGTGTTTCTTCCAGACTTTTTTCTCCGGCGGGGCACTTGAAATTTTCGGGGGGGGGGGGGGGCGGACACCGATGAAAGTATATATTTTCTATATAAATTTCATTTCGTTCGGGGGGGGGGGGCGGTAGACATTCTTCGGGAAGGGGGGGGGGGGGTGTGGCGGACGGAGCCCCCCCGTAGAGACGCCTGGAAGAAACTATGGATAAGATGCCTGGAAAAAAACTCTGGAAGTCTGCAACTAAACCGCTAAATATAACATGATGAAATTGTTTCCCAGCTTGCCCTGAAATGACCTACGGTCACGCGTGTAGGCATTCATGTCTCGTGAAGTGTAATGGACGAGACTGCATTGAACGAGAGCTAGGATTGTGTCCATCAGGTATGTCACTGTTCTTCAAATTTACATATGGTTGTATTGTTGTATATATACTGCGTGTACTGGTTGCACGGTCGTGTGTATACGTTTTCTAATGTATTAACTATATTATCCAGGAAATGTAACGGGTTTATCAGCTGTTGTGTACTACCTTCTCCTTGTCCTAATACTCGGGTCACTGTACGGTTTCTTTATGAGTAGGTAGGTTTACGGTGTTGCCGTTGACGTTTCCACTTATTTTCAAATATTGTGATTTTACCCACTTAGTTATGTATTTATAATTGAGATCTATATATAATGGATACAAATAATAAAAGTTTAAACATTCCTCAGGTCGCACTTGGAAGAGGATCCAGATGTTGTAGTGACAGTGAAACGTGTGTCTTCTAAAGAATACACGGTCACAGAACAAATTGTGGCTGATCAATAAAGCCAGTCGATATTCTACACATTCAATGTGTGGTTTAAAAACTACACTTCGTTTTGGGATCTCGTGAATTATTTTATGATAATGTTATTTTCGAAAGTAACTTCGTTGTTTATTTATTTTTAAAGATAAGTCTGTATTCTTATACTTTCTAATAAAGCCTGAAAATAAATGAATTTATATCAAAGATTATGGTGTAGGTTTATCAATGTACTAGTACAGTGCTCTCCCCGCCTTGATTGTGTTGTTTAGTTGTGCGTGTGGCATCATGCGATATCAGAGAGTGGATGATTGCTAACCCGCTATAGATCTAGATGAAAACTTATTTTTTTAAAGTTTATATTACATAGAATAATAAAAGCATTCTAATATGTGAGGAGTCCACTTGCAAAACCTGTTAAATACACTTTTTGAAGAAAATAAGTTACTTAATAAAAGTTAACCAAAAAAGAACTTAAAAGTCGATTTCTTCGAAATCAACGTAAAGTGACTTAGCAGGTTTTGAAAGTGGACTCTTCATTTTATGTTTTTAAAGGCTTTTCGAGAGCTTAAAATTATTAGTGCACATGTACTTCATATCAACTGCCCATTATAGATTATTGATAGAAATGATACCACTGATCGTCATTTAGTTTATCTTTGTTGTAATAATATGAGTCAAATATAATATAAAATGATACTTTAAATGGTTTATGGTCGAACGAACATTTTTTTTTCTTTTTAAAGATATCGAGATGTTTTTTTTCTGTGCATTTGTTATGTCCGATGTCACTAATTTGAAGTCCACAATCTGTTTTTTTTCACATAAGGTCTTGGAAATTGTGTAGTTAAAACTATTGTACTTAAAACATCATTATTATTTTGAATCAGTATTTATTGTTCTTAAGGGGATATGCGCGGAAAAAAATCACAAAATTTCTTGTTTTTCGTCATGATCAGTTTCTTGCACTTTTGGATACTTTGTCCATTTTTGTATAAAGAAAATAATAACTTTAAAGAGAAAAAAAATATTTTATGTGTTTGAATTATGATTTTTATGACCCTATTAATTAAAAAATAATCAATTTTTCCCAATCTTACAAGATCTCTATGAAAAGTTTTATATCCATCATTGTATTGTATTTGACATCATTGGAAAGCTGGATTTCTCATGTATCTAATAAACTTAATTTCCTACATATCGGAAATACCAAAAGCTTACGATCGGCTTTGCAGTTTACACAGATATGGTACTTTCCTGACCTAGTTTTCGTTACTTTTGGCTGTTTTTCTCAGTTCGCATGTTTTTAACACTAAAAAGCCTACTACTTTTTTATTTATTAAACAATACCAACCATATTTTCAGTAATTGTTCTTGATGCAAAAATACAACTTTTGTCACGAGGGAATTGTGATTGCTTTCATAGAAAAAAAGTATTTGGTAATTAATATGCAAATTTTGAAACTTTTGAATACTAAAAAGGGTACGATTTTTTAGACCTTGTAAAATTCTTACTAATAATTATTTCAAAAAGTTGTCGTGACAAAAGTTTCAATATATACTGAAATATAAGCAGTTTAAATTTGATTGCTATAGGTGCATAAATAAAAAAGCCTTAGTATTTTTAAAAGTACCGAAAAATTCAAAATGGCGGAGGTTTTTTGGGTTTCCATGACAACCAAAATTGTTTTCGACCCTTTTTTTTGCTGTTTAATAATTACTTTTATATGCCAAATATGATAAAAGTATTCAAAAGCTTTGAGATCTTAAATTGTAAAAAATAGAAAAAAACATAGCATATCCCCTTAATTATGTTAGAAGAGACAAACACTTGGTTTAAAATTGTTTGGCTAAAAATATATGAGTTATCTTTTGAGACATACATTATGGATTTGTTAATGCTAAAAGCAATTTCAAATCAAGCTGATATCATTAAATTAATAATACTGATTTATACGATTAATTAATCAATGTCTTCGCTGTTATAAATATAAAACAAATAAAACAACAAAGTTAAGGCATAATACTGAATTGTATTATAAATTATGGGATATGATTTACATATTTCTGATCATTGTATTTTTTAATAAACCGATGCTTGATTTTGTTTTGGACGGACATAAAAACGTATCCAAGCTATTTTTTTTAAATTCCAATTTTACAAATGAAATACTAATGAAACATTAAGCTATGTTCGTGACAATTAAACTATTGATTGTAAACTTTCTTCAACCGAAAATATGAAATCGTACCGGTAAATAGTCGTTATTTTATCAAGTGTGACACAGCGTTAGTTAAACGAATATTATAGGCACTTTAAATCAATAATTTCCACCACAAAGCTGGCGGTTACCTATATATATATATATATATATATATATATATATATATATATATATATATATATATATATTCAATTTATATATATATATATATATATATATATATATATATATATATATATATATATATATATATATATATGCGTGTGTATGTGTGTGATTGTGAGTGTATTTCTTACAATTAAAGAAGGAAATTTTATTAAGTGTTTTTGATATTTTATTTTTGCATTTGCCTATAGTTTACCTGTTGTTTACCTGTTGCAGTTTATAATTTTTTTTCCTTTCTCAAACACTATACTCAATTTCTAATTTCTTATACTTAAGTGGTTTCATTTGATTTTTTTTTTTACCTTCGCATATACGAAGTATAGATAAAGTATTGTAATCGTGCAAAAAAAAAAAACGAAATCGAGAATTTTACAAATCTCATATTTTTTCAAATCTTGAGTCGGAAAAACACAGTTTTGCAAATTAATCCATATGTCTGTATGTGTATGTATGTATGTGTGTGTGTGTGTGTGTGTCTGTACACAAGATAACTAGAGTACAGTTATAGCTAGATTGATGAAATTTCATATATAAGTATTACTATATCAAATTTGTATTTCTGTATTTACTTTTCAGCGATTTCCGTTTACTGGAACTGGAACTTTATCTACTATCAATTTTTAAAAGCCAATAACTTGAGTAGTATTTCATATAGATAAATGAAATTTCACATGTAAACATGCAAACAATTGTGTAGTCGTGTGTGGAGCGAAACGTAAACGGTTTGAATTGCTAATATATAACATAAACATAATACCTATAGCCAAGTAATTGTTTAAATATCACATGCTGGTAAAAATAATAAGAACAATGTAAATACAACTTGTAAAACGATATTTATATATGTTTCACATTTATTCAAAATCACATTGGAACTTGTCAGAATCCTGAAAGGTTTATATGCCAAAATGAAATTTCATTGCAAGTATGATAACAGCTGGTAGTCAAAACAGGACATAAGCAACCATCTGTTTAAAAAACGACATAAGCTGTGCTAATAAACGAAAATATAATTACACAGTACATCATTTCTTTCAGGTTTACAACATGTAGTGTATTTGCAATACCATGTTTCCAAAAAGTGTTACTTTATACTGTATGTTATTAATTAATAAGTTACAGCATGAAATGGCCATCATGTTTTGAGTATTCTTACTAACGTACGTACAAACTGAGTCAATGAAGTTCAAACTGGTGACAAGTATAATAAGATAGATGTTGACAGCGCACACTATTACAATCATAGAAATAATATTGTAAATATATTTACTTATTAATGATTCCGATTATTCTCCTATTATTGTTCTACTGTTTATATTAATACACTTTATCTTCAAACCAAAGTCCTTATGTAATTATACTTGATTTAATTTTGTCAATTAATTTTACAAAGACTACACTAGAACAAAAAAAAATGTAATAATGTAACAAACGGTTAAAAAAATTGTATAGATGTGTGCGAAATTTTAAAATTAAGTTAATTTACAAAGTATTTTCATCAATAATTAAAATCATTAATTAATAAAACCTAAATTATTAATGCTGACGACATACATATGCACAAATACATATTTCTACAATTATATATATATATATATATATATATATATATATATATATATATATATATATATATATATATATATATATATATATATATATATATATATATATGTGTGTGTGTGTAAATGTGTATGTGTGTGTTGATTAAACTTATCAATGCACAGTTCGCTGTACACAGTAATCAAACATCTGTATTGACTCGTTTAGTGACTGTGTATTCCTTAGAAGACACACGTTTTACTGTAATAACAACATCTGCCCTTTTTGGCTGCTTTCCGCCCGATTTTCTAATAGAATAGACAAAAATAATAGTCCCTAGTTAAAAAGGTACATAATTAATACATCTACGTTTGTGTTTAAAAAAATGAATGGTAAGAAAAATCTTAGAAAAAAACAACAAATAACGCATTTCTGAATGAAAACTTACCTATACAAATATACCACACAAATGGAGCCGACGAGAAGAAAGAGTAGAACGTAGTACACCAAAGCTGATGTTGCAACTTCGTATACTGTAAGCATTAAAAAATATTAGTCATTCAAAAGTTTAAAAATAAATGTGTACACTTCCATACTTTACACATTCAAGTACAAACAGAAGTTCACATTAATTTGTACTTGTGAAAAATGACATACCTGATGGACACATTCCCTGTTCTCTTTCAATGCAGTCTTGTCCATTACACTTTTCTTTACATGAGTATTTACAGTGGTGGCCGTATGTCCATTTTGGGCAAGCTGTGGAATCAGGAAATCTTTTCGAATGTTTGTATTATTTTCATACGAAAGGCTAAACTTTACAAGATCCTTTTCCTATTAAATTATTGTGTTAAGTGTTTAGTGTGTTAAGTTTTGTGTATCGTAATGTTCAACCATCAAGCAACGCGGCTTTATGTTAATTCTTTATGTCAACTCACATAAATACCCACTGGTTTATCACATTTTATAGTTTTTTTTAAAATAAGCTTAACCTTTAACTACATCATGCAGTTGTACAGCAAGCTATTGAGTCTTAGTGAATCATTACATATAGAATACAATAACGAACCAGGTTTGATAGAGATAGATTCCAAACAGAACAAATGTTATAGGGTAAATTTAAAAAAATACAATACACGTTTTGAGCCTTGTGTTTTATATCTAAAGACAGTGTTGTAAGAGCAAACGTCCAGGCTAAACTTTCTATAGTGACGAAAAACATTTTTATTTATTAAGTTGTTAGGAGTACTCACATTTCTATAGCAGCTTGGACTACTCACACATCCAACATTTCTACTTGGACTAATTACACGTCCAATATTTATCCATTAGCTGGGACTACTCACACGTCCAACAATTCTACTTGGACTAATTACACGTCCAATATTTATCCATTAGCTGGGACTGCTCACACGTCAAACATTTCTACTGAGACTACTCACACGTCCAACATTTCTACTGGGACTACTCACACGTCCAACATTTCTACTTGGACTAATTACACGTCCAATATTTATCCATTAGCTGGGACTACTCACACTTCCAATATTTATCCATTAGCTGGGACTACTCACACGTCCAATATTTATCCATTAGCTGGGACTACTCACACTTCCAATATTTATCCATTAGCTGGGACTACTCACACTTCCAATATTTATCCATTAGCTGGGACTACTCACACTTCCAATATTTATCCAATAGCTGGGACTGCTCACACGTCAAACATTTCTACTGGGACTACTCACACATCCAACATTTCTACTTGGACTAATTACACGTCAAATATTTATCCATTAGCTGGGACTACTCACACTTCCAATATTTATCCATTAGCTGGGACTACTCACACTTCCAATATTTATCCATTAGCTGGGACTACTCACAAGTCCAATATTTATCCATTAGCTGGGACTACTCACACTTCCAATATTTATCCATTAGCTGGGACTACTTACACTTCCAATATTTATCCATTAGCTGGGACTACTCACACTTCCAATATTTATCCATTAGCTGGGACTACTCACACTTCCAATATTTATCCATGAGCTGGGACTACTCACAAGTCCAATATTTATCCATTAGCTGGGATTACTCACACTTCCAATATTTATCCATTAGCTGGGACTACTCACACTTCCAATATTTATGCATTAGCTGGGACTGCTCACACGTCCAACATTTCTACTGGGACTACTCACACGTCCAACATTTCTACTGGGACTACTCACACGTCCGACATTTCTCCATTAGCTGGGACTGCTCACACGTCCAACATTTCTACTGGGACTACTCACACGTCCAACATTTCTACTGGGACTACTCACACGTCCAACATTTCTACTGGGACTACTCACACGTCCAACATTTCTACTGGGACTACTCACACGTCCAACATTTCTACTGGGACTACCCACACGTCCAACATTTCTACTTGGACTACTCACTAACATTTCTACTGGGACTACTCAAGAGTCCAACATTTCTACTGGGACTACTCACACGTCCAACATTTCTACTGGGACTACTCACACGTCCAACATTTTTACTGGGACTACTCACACGTCCAACATTTCTACTGGGACTACTCACACGTCCAACATTTCTACTGAGACTACTCACACGTCCAACATTTCTACTGGGACTACTCACACGTCCAACATTTCTACTGGGACTACTCACACGTCCAACATTTCTACTGGGACTACTCACACGTCCAACATTTCTACTGGGACTACCCACACGTCCAACATTTCTACTGGGACTACTCACACGTCCAACATTTATCCCCGATCCAACCATTGGAACACAGCTCACAATTCCCAGACCTGACGTCGCATGCACCATCACCAACACAGTAACCACATTGTTGGTTGCAATTGCTGCCGTATAATCCAACAGGACAGGAATCTAAAAATAAAAAATAAATATGTTCATCTTTTTACAAAATTATAGGGCAACTTTTCTCTGGAAAGGTATTGTAATATTTTATAAGTAGTATACGCACCTGTCAACAACTAGCTTTACTTACTAATGTCACAGGTATGGCACAAAGTGTTGAAGCTTTCCTTATCATGCCCTACACAATTCATCCCTTCATGTTTTGGTGCTAGATTTTCACACAAGCGCCTGAAAGAATAAGTATAATGAAATGCAGAGGCGTAGCGAGGGGGGGGGGGGGGCGGGGGTGCGGAACGCACCGGTGACACCATTTAGAGGGGATGACACCAAGGCAAAAAATAGTAACATTTATAGAGAAAAACTTGAGGGGGGTGCAAATCGAAAGTTTGAAGGGGGGGGGGTGCAAATCGAAAGTTTGAAGGGGGGGGGGTGCAAATCGAAAGTTTGAAATTTGTCCACGGGAAGGGTCGACCTAAGGGGGGGTGCCACCATTAAGTGCCGCACCGGGCGACACCCGACCTCACTACGCCACTGATCAAATGTAGTAGCATGGACAGGCAAGAATGCTTACATTATTCAACTACGTGATAAATAAAAAAAACAATACATACATACTGTTTACATATAAGGAAAAATTAAACTTTTTTATTATTGTGCTGAGTTAGCAATCAATTACTGTTATAAAAATAATTCGTAAAACAACAAAAAAAAACAACAACAATTATTTAATTACATTCGTGTAGAATATGTGTCATTGCACCCGTCACACTCTGTCAGTCCCCATTGACCCCATCCACCATCCACTAAAACATAGACATGTATATATATATATATATATATATATATATATATATATATATATATATATATATATATAATTTATATCTGCTTATATGTGAGCTAAAGATCATAAAACATAATATCACTCATTGCACAGAATTTGCTAATATCGCAACAATATATGCTATATAAACAATTGAAAATCTATATAGATGTTAATAATATTTATTTTAAATTAAAGTTAGTTAAACATAAGTATTAAATCTGGACAGTGTCGCATAATGATTGGTGTAAGAGCTTCACTCGAAAATAGCAGAACTATAACGTTAAAGTCTACCGAACACTGGATAATGTATTTAACATCGAAATCTCCAATAATAACATTAATCCCACACTAGAATATACTAGAAGACTACAGAGACAAAATTATTGTAAACACGTTTGAATTGAACCAAATCAAAAAGAAAGTTCGTTAAAACTGAATGTCCAAAAATATACCGGCTATTTCCCGATTTGTCGCCCTGACCTGTAGTAAGTATAACAATTTGATTGTACGAAAAAAAATTTTTTACAGCAAATTTTTTTTTTAACAGTTGAAAAGGTAGTTTTTTGTAAATAGTTTCAATTTTTTCAGGAAATATAATTAATTATTTTAAAAAGTCACCTTCAAAAGTAAAATAAATAAAGCTTAAAGTAATAATTTACTATGTAAGAATTTTTTAAAAAATGTTAGCTTAAGATTCTATATTTTCTTTAATAAACTTATTTCTAAATACAATTGACAATACAAAATATACTATTTTAACTCTTAATACCGATCCAATGTGTGTATTTAACAAGCAGACTTTCGTATATTGAAAGCAGGGCAAGGCATACCAGACGTATATCCTACTGTAAGAGATTAATCAATGACCTGTACTACGAAAGCCATTATTGTTATTTATTTTCCAACTCTGAGTACCAAGATGAGCTGTAGGCAGAGACGTAGCGAGAGGGCGCGGGGGGTGCGGACCGCATCAGGTGACACCATTTAGGGGGGGGGGGGGGTGACACCAAGGCAAAAAATAGCAAAATATATAGAGAAAAACTTGATGGGGGGTGCAAATCGAAAAGTTAAGGGGGGGGGGGGGGGGTGACACCATCAAGTGCCGCACCGGTTAACACCCGACCTCGCTACGCCACTGGCTTTAGGTGCCGTGTTTAGAATAACAACGACATTAATATAAATTGATCTTGCGCAGCTACTTTGACATACGTTGATTCAATAGTATAGCTGCGTGAATTAAAAATAAAAATGCTGTTTCAATTAAGAACTTACGTTGTTACCATAAGCATAACCAACAACATGTAGATATGCACCCTTATCTTTCCAACCAAACACGTACAGACCGAAGTTACTGAGATTTGTGGAGTAAGCAGAATGCCAACCTGGTGGGATTCGCAAGTATCGAACTTGATACGGGGTATGATTGACATCCGATACTAGAGCTCTTGAGGAGGAATATAGGATAGTGTAATGAACAGTTCAATGATACTTTAAAATTTGAAGTTTGTTTTTGAATTTGAAAAAAAAATTGAGAAATTTTGAAAAAAATATGTTTATGAATGTGTCAAACATTTAAAGTAAAAAAAATTTTTTGTGAATGTGTTTTACTTGTATGAATCAAATATTTAAAGTAAAAGAAAATGTTTGTGAATATGTTTTACTTGTATGAATCAAATATTTAAAGTAAAAGAAAATGTTTGTGAATATGTTTTACTTGTATGAGTCAAATATTTAAAGTAAAAGACAATGTTTGTGAATGTGTTTTACTTGTATGAATCAAATATTTAAAGTAAAAGAAAATGTTTGTGAATATGTTTTACTTGTATGAGTCAAATATTTAAAGTAAAAGAAAATGTTTGTGAATATGTTTTACTTGTATGAATCAAATATTTAAAGTAAAAAAAATGTTTGTGAATGTGTTTTACTTGTATGAATCAAACATTTAAATTGAAATAAAATGTTTGTGAATGTGTTTTATTTGTAAGAGTCAAACATTTAAAGTAAAAAAAAAATGTTTGTGAATGTGTTTAACTTGTATGAATCAAATATTTAAAATAAAAAAAAGTTTATGATTGTGTTTTACTTGTATGAATCAAACATTTAAAGTAAAAAAAATGTTTGTCAATGTGTTTTACTTGTATGAATCAAACATTTAAAGTAAAAAATAAATTACCTTCTTCTTAAACCACACTTTCTAACCCTACGTGCAGATAAACTGGCAACACTTACCTGTAGTTTAGAGCGTTCTTATCGTCAAGTAAAATAGTTGAATATGTATCTTTATCGGCTATCATTATAAGATAAGAGCCCATGTGTCTAGTAGTTGAATTGTACGGAAAGGGTACGCTGTAGTGAGAGAGGGAGAGAGACAGAAGATAGTCACATTGATGTCAACATAGGAAAAGTAATATTCCCCTTCAAATCCTGGCAGTCTATGGGGTAATTGAAGTAGAGTTCACCTGTTTATGTCACCTCGGCATATGAAGTGATAGTGTGGTAAGCACTATGCCCAGCCGCCTTTACTTTCCCTTAACGAAGTTAAGTACCCATCAGAGCTGGGTGGACTCAGGGACGGTCAACATACATCGACACTAAAGTTGTTCACAGTCTTATTTTGCTACACAAACCTCATCCGAAACACATTATCTTTTCCTGTTCTCGCCCAAGAAGCAGATGAAGTAGAGTTCACCTGATTCAGATACTTCGCATGTGAAGAAAAAGTGTGGTCAGCACTATGCCCCGCCGCCTTCACTTTTGATCAGCTCAGATTCCCATCCGAGCTGAGCGGACTCATTAGAACTCAAGCCAATCGGGTTAGCCAAAGAGCTTTCTACTGCTAGGTCGCAACGTCCTAAATAGATGACGTATACTTTAAACCATTGCTCGCCCACACCCTGCCAGTAGTAACGGCCACTGGAGCTTAAAGTCTGAAAAAAACACTGCGAATGAGACAATACAGTCTTCATTAATATACAATATTAATGGCTTGGATTGCACCATATATTTTGTTGAAAAAATGACAGGCTAATTTCACAAACACCAACTACCAAACGTAAACACTCATCGACCTGAATCGTAACTGCCCATTGAATTGAACCCTGCCCCGAAAACGTAACTGACCAAACCACTGACCTGAACACGTAGCTGAAGTAGAACAATTCAACGGGAATTAGCCAAGCTAAAGCCATGCTTGACGTACAATCATTGCCCTTGATCAGATAGTAGCAATCAATAAGATTGTTAGCTCTAACGTGCATAGGGCGTGTGTCACTTATTACTATCTGAAATGGTAATTAATCTCATTAATTAAATATGTTATTGCAATACTTTTTAAAGCAATATTAAAAATTATTTAAAAATGATAATATATATGGCGTATTCAAATTGTACAAAAAGTACTCTAAATTTAAAGACGATTGAGTTTCAATATAATTTAAAAAAAACAACAGCTTGTATAATTTTTATTCCCGACAAACGAAATAATTTTAAATAAGCCGGGAGTAATCTCCCCTAAACTTTCTCGAATATTCTAATATAACACTACGTGGGATGTCAACTCGGATTATAGACATGATTTTTGTTTACTTAAACTTTTAAAAATAGAATTAAATCTAGTAGAAAAAAATTGCGCACCAAGCGAGCACCAAAACCAAATGTGCGTAATAGTGCGCAATATTATTAGTCCTTTATAAATTTACATGCGTTTTTTGAAAAAATCGGAAATAGCGTACATTAGTACTTCCGGTCAACGGAAATTACTCAAAATTCGATAGATGGTAGAGAATAAGATCTTTTAGTTACATGTGAAATTTCATTTATCTATCTGAATTAGTACTCAAGTTATAGGCTTTTGAAAAATTCAAAGTAGAAAAAGTACCACTTTCGGTTAGCGGAAATCGCTCAAAAGTTGATACGGATCTACGATTTTGATATAATACTTATATATGAAATTTCATCAACCTAGCTGTAACGGTACTCAAGTAATCGTGTTTACACACAGACACACAGACACACACACACACAGACACACAGATAATACGGACAAGATTGCAAAATTATGTTTTTCCGTATCAGTGAGGTGTAAAACGTCGAGATTTGTAAAAATCTCGTCGAGATTTTTAAAAATCTCGAGTTGCGATGGTCAAGGTTAGCTTTAAGTTGATTATTTGTGAAAAGTTTATACAATTCGGATAAGTTTAAAAACAAAACTCACTGCCTAACAAAAAAAGAATATTTAAACAAAAACAACCTAAGTCTAGACATATCTTGGTCGCAAACATCCTTTTTGTTAGACTTGTATTCTCTTTTTCGTAAACGGTATTAGTCAAGTTTGTATAGTGTTGTTTGATTTAAAGTGTTTTTTATATAATTATTTTTGAAGGGTTAATTTTAAAATTGTTTATGCTACTCTCATGCTTGTGTAGTTCCTTATAACTAACTCTTCACCTTCGCCGAATTTGTTTAATTTATATAATATACAATCTTTAAATTTCCATTATGAAAAATGGTAGTTTTTTTTTGAAACATTCGCTTTTAACACACAAATACACACACACACACACACATATATATATATATATATATATATATATATATATATATATATATATATATATATATATATATACTTACTCGACCTGAGTGATTAGAAATACACGTTTTATGAAATTTAAAAACTCAACTTAGCAAATATATACCGCCTGAAAATACGGTTACCGTTTCGCGTTGATTGCCATGCAAAGAAAAATAGGTTTGACTGTTGACTGTCACTGTAGTTGGAAAGCCATAATTTGTGGCGATTATCAACTCATCATTGATTTTAGGCGAATCAGACGTCAACAATCGATGTCTACTAAAGACGATGAATTCCACCGCCTTAAGAAATTCGAAATGGTTAAGGCTGTCTGTGAAAAAAAAAATTAGGGTTGTATTAATCAACTCAAATTAATAGCAATTAAGGTCAGGTTAACAATGATTTTATAGGCATCAAGCTAAACAAAATACATACATTTTATAAGTAACATAGTATTTGTTGTTTAATTATAGTGTTGATTTGTTCTTGTTTTCATTTTACCCAAACACACAACTAACAACCGCAAAAGAAATTAGTACACACAACTAACAAACGCATGCGAAATTAGTACAAACCGATGAAAGGAAAATTAGTTTTCTGCAAATCACATTGAAAAGTAAACTCTGATTCACACGGCACAACTATAGCTCCTATTGGATAATCCATAGAAAAAAAAATCTCTGAAAATAATGGGTTCAAATGTCAGAAACCTGCACTCACGGCCTAAATATATATATATATATATATATATATATATATATATATATATATATATATATATATATATATATATATATATATATATATATATATATATAAATATATAAATATATATATATATGTATATATATATAGGCAATTATATATATAGGCATATATTTAGGCATATATATCGTCCCCCTAGTATTATCTTGTTCTATCTCCCAAAATGTAGTTTTTAGAAAAACGCATTTGAAGTTTCATGGGGTCTGATTTCCCTATTAAAAATATTTTAAACTCATTTATTTTTTGATAAAATGTTAAAGGGCATTAAACAATGAGCATTGATGCTATTTTTATGACTTTATGTAGCAATAGAAGCCCAAAATAATTATTTTTCATTTTTGAGATAGAACAAAATACTATCAACTAGATCAGGATAAGAAAATTGTATAATGTTCTAAGTCAAATTTTGTTCTTTTACTTTCTCGTATATACGAAGTATAGAGAAAGTATTGTAATCGTGCACAAAAATCACTTGAAATTTTAACAATTTTCACCGTATTACACCTCAGTCCTTCATCACATCCGAAGTATAGAGGACTTATTTTAATCGGGCAAAAATTATCAATCCAGATTTATCAAAATTAAGAGGTTTTATGCGTAATCCAGTCTGAAAAACTGGGCTTTGCAATTCTGTCCGTATGTCTGTGTGTCTGTGTGTCTGTCTGTCCGTGTGTAAACACGATAACTTGAGTACCGTTACAGCTAGGTTGATGAAATTTCATATATAAGTATTTTATCAAAATCGTAGATCCGTATCAACTTTTGAGCGATTTCAGATAACCGGAAGTGGTACTTTTTCTACTTTGAATTTTTCAAAAGCCTATAACTTGAGTACTATTTCAGATAGATAAATGAAATTTCACATGTAAGTAAAAGATCTAATTCTCTACCTTCTGTTAAATTTTGAGTAATTTCCATTGAACGGAAGTAGTAATTTACGCTACTTCCGATTTCTCAAAAAACAATAATGTAAATTTTTAGAGTACTAATAATATTGCGCACTATTATGCACTTTTTTATTTGGCGTTCACTTGGTGTGCAATTCTTTTGTCTACGAGATTTTTATTCTATTTTTAAAACTTGAAGTATTTAAAATGGATTAAAAATCATGTCTATAGCCCGAGTTCCCATCCCCTGTTGTTTTATATAAGAATATGCGAGAAAGTTTAGGGGAGATCACTACCGGTTTATTTACAGTCAGTTTCAATAGCTTTCCAGAAGTGTAATGCACTTTTTTATGAGTAATAATATACTTTTGTATGAGTAATATCTTCTTTTTGTAAATCTGACTGTCCTTGGTCATTAATTTTCACTTTTTATCACTTCCATGGCAAAATGTATATATTAAAGTACATTACATGGCATGTAATGTTTTTACAGTTCTTTATAAGTGGGTTTGTGCATTAAGATGTAAAGTTTATTCTGTAACTTTGGGTTATCTGCATACATTAACATAATTTGATTTAGTCAGTGGCGAGTCTAGTTAGGGTGACACTCGGTGTGGTAACTGAGGGTGTCAAACCTCCACCGTCTTACAATTTTTGGTTTTGCGTCACCCCTCTACCCTATAATTTTATTTTAAGATTAACTGGATAAAGAATTATATTGCCTGTAAATTTTAGTGTTTTTCACATTGGTGTCGCCCTCTAAATGGCGTCACGTGCGGATCACACCACGCCCCCAGCCTTGTGATACAACTGGAATTAAATTATAAATAAAATAAATGCAAAACTCAGGAATTAGCTTAAAAATAATGTATTAATTTTACACAATATACACAGTTCCTAATGCAAAAACAACCAATCTTGTAATTGAATATTGAGAATATACATAAACACTTTCTTTTCTCATAATGATGCTGCGCAGCTTGAATACAGGCAGCGCCAATACTCATATCATTGACACTACATTACCAGGTCTCTGTTGTTTTTATTGTTCTCTTTCGCACTTCTCTGTGGATAGAAATAAAGATAGACTACATCAGTACAAAGTGCAAAAACAGAAGGACTTATCCCCCCCCCCTCTGCTACACTAATACCAAACTGAAAACCAAGAATAAACATATTCATGGTGTCACATGACATGGAACACAGGTAAAATCGCTCACAAGATCACGGAAAAAAAACTACGTCCACAGGGCCACAGCCCCACAGGGGCCGCAACTCAATGGATTAAAACTTCATATTTTTATCCCCCTTGGCTGGTAACCATATGTGTTACACAGCCCCCCCCCCTCACAAATAAATGTACAATGGAATTCACATTTACATTTACATTTACAACATACATAATAGTACTTAAAAAAAGTTAGGTACACTAGTACACAGACATTAAGTCCTTTCAACTCAAATACATTCTTCCCGGCAAACCGGTAGAGGCTCTAGTGCAGGTACTGGTCACCACTTGATGCGCCAGGTTGAGTCGCTCGACGGGTCGTCGTTGACGGGTTGACCTCCGCAGCTCCGCTGGTGGTTCTGGGTTGATCCAAGAGTCATCCTCGTCCGATGCCTCGTCCCTCGCATTCACCTCATCCAGATGTGGGGCTGGCCTGACCATCACCTTGTCTTGTCCGTCCCGGGCGACCACCTCGGGCACGAAAGGCGTTGCCTCCGGCCGAAGTCTGGTTGGGACCACTACCTTGATTGTCAGTTCCTCACCTTCATCTGCCTCACTGGTTGGGATGATCTCTCTCCGTCGCTCCCCCTCCGCCACAGTGGGTTCAGCACTCGACATTGTATAGTCGGGTCGCTGCCAACCACGGCGGCGTCCACCACGTCGTCGGCCTCTCCTCCGGCGGCGTCTCCGACCTCTGCTTGTGTCATGTCTGTCTCCCAAGCGACGATCTTGCTCGCGCTGAGACTGACATGCATGGTGTGGCTGTCTACCCTCCTCACGCGCACCCTTCGGCTGCAACCCTCCTCCACGGCGGAACACCCGACAGCCGTACCCCCAGCCGCTAGGCGAGGTAACCTGAGCTGTGGCTGCTCGACACTGTGATGATCTCGGTGGCGTAAACTTGGGCTGGGGGCTTGGCAGAACACGCATCAGCATCCGCTCCCCGACGCTGATGGACTGGCGTTTCCCTTGCTGCTGACTCCGTTGCCTAGCTGCTTTCCTCGGACAGTCGCGGACGAAGTGCTTCCTGGACCCGCACCCGTAACAAGCTCCCCTGTAAGGCCGTTGTTTCCGGGCTAGGATAGCTGCTGCCACCTTCTCCGCCAGACGGTCAAGTTGTTCCTCCGTGAGTATCAGCGGCGTCGTCTCTTGGCGAACAGCTGCCGTTAGTGAGTCTACCTGGATAGTCCTGTTAGCTGCTGCCGTGGCTACGACTGGGGACTCAGTTGTCCCATCCAGCCTTTTAACAGCTTCCAGGACGGACTCCATCTTCGGGCTAGCTTCCCCTGCAAACCCGCCCGTGGGTAGAAAGTCGGTGAACTCGTCCAGATCACTGTGTACTGGAGCACACACCTTCACCGTCATGGGCCGCTACGCACTTGCGTGTTGTAGCTCCGCCATCTTAACCCTCAACTTGGCCAGTTGCTGAGACAACTTCTCGAACGTCAGATCGCTGTTTTCCATCCTCCCTCTCAAGGTCAAGCCCCACGTTGGGCGCCAAATGTAACCCTCACTCAGTGGGGATGCTTTTACCCACTGAGGTGTTGTGGTTTAGACGGGCTGACCCTGAGATTAAGTACACACCGACACCGACAGTTGTTGTCAAGTACTCGCTTTATTTACAGCATCGAGCCATGACGGCGATGCAACACAGTAGTACAAAACAAACTAGCCAAGAGAAAAAAAAACTGTAGCCCTAAAACAAATGTAAATAAAAAGTTACATTCATGACAACACCACGTATAGGCTACAATATACACAGGTACAATAAAATATGTTTTGGCCAGTACACAGTACTGCAACAAGTACCAATACGTAGTACTACAAATAAATACTTATATTAATACTCACCCTAACTAGTGTGCACATGCAGCACTAGCAGGAATACACAAATAAGTATTTTAACAAACATAATTTATGTAACTACTCTACCTTCATTAGGTCTACATCTTGGTCACCGTGTCCACAGACAGCAGCCTTGCGTGTGCGACACGGCTAGGCATGAAACTACCCACATTCCCATGTCACATGACATGGAACACAGGTAAAATCGCTCACAAGATCACGGAAAAAAAACTACGTCCACAGGGCCACAGCCCCACAGGGGCCGCAACTCAATGGATTAAAACTTCATATTTTTATCCCCCCTTGGCTGGTAACCATATGTGTTACACAGCCCCCCTCACAAATAAATGTAATTACAATGGTTTTAAGACGAACAATGAATTACTTCACATTTTGATCTGTAACAAAGACATTGTTTTCATCATCCATATATTGGAACACTTCCTCATTATGATTTTGATAATATAAATACAAATAAACCCTACCGATATTATACTGCTAAACAATACAATTAATATATTTTTAATATAGGCGTATACTACGGTATACATTAACAAGATTAGGCCTATTATCAATTAAAATATTTTAATAAACAAACTTTGAACTAAATAATGTGTAAAATAACACAGTTAAGACAACATATAAAAGATAAATATACTTACGATTCAGGATCCGGTAATTCAGTCAGTTTATTTGCATGACAACCAAAATCGACTAAAAGATGTTCACACGCCGCCATTTTGATCAACGACGCACAAGTCACATGACTTAAACAGCTAATTTCATTGGCAGAATCGGACATAGAACATTATAATTCTAGCGTCTCCAAGGAAAATTTATACAATAATTATATACTGTTTGAACAAAATCATATTATAAAATTGACATAGAACAAGATTATACTGGCCAAATGCATCAACTTGTAGTTAGAACAATGTCAAATTGAAAAGTTAGGAAGCAGATGACTTAGAGTCACGTGGATAAGTGGAGATTGAACATTGTGCTTTCCTACATCATAGGGTCGAGTTTTTCGAAAAAATCAAAATTTGTAGTTAGAACAAGATAATACTGAGGGGACGATATATAGACATACATATATATATATATATATATATATATATATATATATATATATATATATATATATATATATATATATATATATATATATATATATATATATATATATATATATATATATATATTTATATATATGTATACATATATATATGTATACATATATATATATATATATATATATATATATATATATATATATATATATACATATATATATATATATATACATATACATATATATATATATATACATATATATATATATATATATATATATATATATATATATATATATATATATATATATATATATATATATATATATATATATATATATATATACATATAGGGGGTGTAGGTGTGTAAAAGTAAACATTAAAATACGCGTGTAAATAAAACCACAAGTAGCTACTTCCTCCTTCAGTAGTCTCCATTTCGTAGGAATCCAAACCACAAAGCATTTGACTGAATATCATAAATTCGTCTCTATTAGAAAAGAACAACATTGTTTTCAAACAGTAACATTTCGTGTAGTAATTGAAATACAATTTTAAGTTCGGATTTTTACTCAGTATGTTGTATTTCGTAATCTACAATCTAGAGTATGTTTAAATAAATGTAATGCTTTTATTTAAAAAAATTGATTAATTTTCCTCTTTTAAACTTTGTGTTCATTAGTGTAGATCAAATAATGTGGCGTTGTGGCCGAGCTGTAGAGCACTTGACTGTTAACCCAAAAGTCTCGAGTTCGTAGTTTAGATACATAGTATAATCTGCATTTCCCTACGTCTACCAAGCCTTGTGTATCCGACTCACAGTAGGGAAAGTAAAGGCTAGTGGGCGTAATGTTGGCCACATCATTCGCATATATGACGAAGTAAATACCATAGCTATATTTCCCACTGATGAAATAGACATAAAGCTTAAAAATAATGAAAGTGCGTTGAGAGTGTATTTATTCTTCTATTTTGTATCTAAAATCGTTTCCTTTTTAAAAGAGAGTTAAAAGCAGTGATTAATTAAATAAAAGAATTATATTCCATAATACTTATTCGTAATGAAGATAATTATGTTTTATAAATATGATCAATAAACACTTAGCATAATTAATCAGACATAATATTAAGACAGCGATTCTAAAACAAAACACCTAACCTATGGAGAATAGTTTGCCGTAGAACTGCGTAAGAATGGAAATACCAGGACCAGTACCAGATGTCAATTTTGTTATTGTCATCAGCAGATATAATAATGATTTGTTTGGCGTAATTTCTAAAGACAAAGTAAATCAGCATATAACACACAGACACAATCATATCTATCTATCTAATACTACTAAAAGTCAAGTTTGTTTACATGTTTGAATATTTATTTGTTTGTTTGTTTGTTTGCCTGATTGACTATTGCTCATGATTGCACTCATCGTGGAAAGCTGTAAAATAGTATGTAGGTAGAGAAAATTTTTTGTTTTAAGACAGACTGTTAATCACACATTTATTTAAAGACGTTAATTAATTTATTGATTTATTCATACGCAGAGTAACCCATTTTTTTTTAAAAAGATTAAAACGACCACTACACTCGGCGGGACCGTGACGTCACAGGTTTTTGTTTACTCTTTAGTACAATAAAATGGCGGCGTCTATCGAAGAAAATTGTGTTCCCATTCACAAGTTTAACGCGTTCTAAATCTAATTTTCTGTCGGTCATAACTTTAACAATACGTCCGTTTGCTGTAATTATTACGTTCCAACACTTATATCAATTTTCAACTGTCTTTTTCATTTAGTTTTACAATAAATTTCTCTAGATCTAAACATCAGCTGTCGAAGGAATGTTATGAATCTAGAATCTAGCCTAGATCTAGATTCTAGATCTAGGTCACTAGACTCAATGTAAATTCTAGATCTAGATTAATGTAAATTCTACATCTAGATCTAGAATCTATTTCGGGCCTTAATTATTTTATATAAATCTTTGTTTAGCTTCAATGATCATCTAATTCGAGAATACATGGGATTTTTTTGTTATCTAGGTTCTATATCTAGATATAATAGGATTACTCACTAACTTGGAGGCGTGGTCGGCTGCTAACAACAATATGGCGTACGGACCGGACGCATGTCTGCCGACCATTTTTAGGCCATGTTTACCACGAGCAAAATGGCGGGTGTTCACATTATTTAAACATTGTATAGGTGGCCAAGGCTAGATATGCCAGAAAAGCATTTTAAAATTTGCTTTGGAGAATGAAGGCTAAATTTTAAAGTCAGTGTCATAAACATTAATAGAACTTTTTTTTTTTTTTTACGTTTTCAATTATTTTTTCTTAAGCCCTATATGTGAATGATAAGGTTGACTATCAGGACCTCGCGGGGCACAGGGCAGGTGAAGTAGGGTTCATCTGTTTCTTTGTCCTAAGCAAATGAAGGGATAGTGTGGTCAGAGACATGCTCGGCTGGAATAGTTTTTGTTGTCTGAGACTTGGCGGGACACTGGGCAGGTGAAGTAGAGTTGAGTAGGTTACCTGTGACGTCAGTATATGAAGGGATAGTCCGAAATCGTTGTTTTCGGTGTTTTTAAAAGATAAAAAACATATTTTTGAATGTGGGGTCTGTTTTTGTGACGATAAGTGACACTGCAGTAGCGTAGCGAGGAGGGGGGGTGGGCGGGAGGGGAGGCGGGGGAGGTGGAGGGGGGAAGGGGGGGGGGACATATTGTGACCTGCTTAGGTCTCTTTATTTCCTTTTATTATTTAGTCTCCTGAGTTTTATTATTGACCTTGGGAGAATTATCAGTTCATTGGTACGCAGCGGTCAACTGAACTCAGTCACGGCATGTGACTTGGATTTTAATCCTTGTCAGAACCTCGGCCAATGGTTGTTTAGTATTGAGGATCCTTAACCGATCCTCGACCAATGGCCTTGCTACATTATAGTAGCTCCCTTGGGGTTTTATCTCTGATAAAAGGTCGAGACACGACTTCTAAAGAAGACTTTGACCTAGACTCCGGGAGGCAACAGTGCGGTGTGTGTGTGTGGTTTTTACTTGAATGTTTCAGTTCGTGGTGATATATATTAGTTCCTCACCATAGGAGTTGTTTATCACTCCAGTGTTTAAGATACATTGTTTAGGTGTGATATTTCACAAAGTTGTGTGATTTTTCCAGTGTTAATGAGTTATTGCTTAGGTGTGTTATTTCACCAAGTATATGGTCTTTCCAGGACTTATGATATTGTTTAAGTGTGATATTACACCAAGTTGTGTGATTATTCAAATGATTATGAGATATTGCTTAGGTGTGTTATTTCACCAAGTTGTATGGTCATTCCAGGTTTATGATATTGTATTTAGGTGTGGTATTACACCACGGCTTTACCTGTGACTTTAATATCTAATTGTTAGAGATATTACAGTATCATTGAGTTATCTGTGAGTGATATTTTTATGGTTTATTTTATTGCTCTTAATGAAGTTTACTTTGGTGTTGACTTATTGACTATTGTACATTCTTGTGCATAAATTAAAATAGTAGTTGTCAGTTTAACCTAAGTTGAGTTTCATCTATCCTACGTGTCAATACCCCTAGACTTTTGTGACAAGCCCACGTAGATGTAGGTGTGCTCATACTGTCCAGAAAGGTTTCTGTCTGACTACTTTAAACGAACATGGGGACGTTCGCCTATTCTGCGTCTGACAGAAGGCGTCCGTTACAAGTGAGGGCTCGACCGGTATTTTGATTTGTGTGCAAGTTTGGCACTAGTTTGAGTTTGTGATCTAGAGTTTGGTCAGAAGTTCAGATACGTTGAACTAGTTCTTGAGTAGTTGTTTTTGTTATCAGTTGAAGGTAAACATTGTTACTTTGTAGCTATGGAGGCTTTGTTGTTAAGTCCTACTGTGGAAGCAGTTGAGAACTTAAATAGGAAAGATTTGATAACAGTTGTCAAAAAGTTAAACCTGGACTATATTGTTACTCAGACCTCTAGGGTGTTGAAGGACAAAGTTATTGTTTACTTCATTAATGAAGGCATGTTAGATGAGAGTCTTCTTTCTGAAGTTTTGGCACGGGAAGTGAAAATTGTTGATAGGGAATTTGAGGCCAGACTAAAGTTAGAAAGAGAAGTTCAGATGAAGCGGTTAGAATATGAGTTTGGTATTATTGACAGTAGTTCGAGGTCAGAAGGTCCTTCTCAGTTGTCTGTGGCCCAAACATTGGCCCAGTTTTGCAAATTAGTCCCTAAGTTTGATGAGTCAGATCTTGTTGTATTTTTTAATACATTTGAGAACATGGCCGAAAGTTGTCAATGGCCTAGTAACGTAGTCACAACGTTACTAAGCACTGTTGTAATTGGTAAGGCTGCCACCACATACCAAGCACTCTCCCGGGAAGTCCAATCCGATTACAAAAAGGTCAAGGCTGCCATTCTGAAGGCTTACGAAGTAACCCCAGAAGCCTACAGAATTAAGTTCAGAAAAATTAGGACACAACAGAACCAAACCTATGTTGAGTTCCTTTTTGAAAAAGAAAAAGTCTTTTCAAGATGGCTCCATTCTGAGAATGTCGACGACTTCGACCAACTCAGAAGTCTGATACTAAGAGAAGACTTTCTCAACGCAGTACCTGAAGAGATCAGACTACACATCTTGGATAACCGAATAACAGACATCAAAAGGGCAGCAGAATCAGCTGATACCTACGACCTGGTGCATAAGAAGTCACAGGGTTCTGGTACCAAATACAATCCGGTACTACCCCTCATCAGCAACAATCCCCCTGCTGGCCAGTTGCTGAGATCTCGTCAGTCACCACAGAAACCCAGAGTCTTAGCCAGGCAACGACTGATCTGCCACTATTGTTCCAAGCCTGGGCACATCATCAAGAACTGTTTCCTGCGACAGCGAGACAACAGAGAGTATGTACGAACATCATCTCGTAACGCTCTCCCCCATCAAGCAAGTCCAAAGGGGAACCTCGCCCGTCGTGATGACCCTACACCAGCGTGTCCACAGGGAGGTAACGAAGTGACCACCACTTTCGTCCAGTCATCTTATGACTATCCTCTTCACCAACCGGTTACATCAGCAGCAACCAATTGTGAAGAATCGAGAACTGTTGGCTTCACGCCATTCATGACAGATGCTGTCATCAGCAACCCTGGAGATCCAGCATCATCGCGGAGCATCGTAGTCCTAAGAGACACTGGGGCTTCTCAGTCACTTTTGCTGAGAGACTCATTGAACATCGCTCCAGAAACCAACACCGGTGATGTCACCATCATTCAAGGAGTGGGAGCTGAACCAACAGTAGTTCCACTACATAAGTTCAACCTGAGACATCAGCTCATCCAAGGAGATGTCATCCTTGGGGTGATAGATTCCATACCTGTCCCAGGAGTACACCTGCTTCTAGGGAATGACCTAGCGGGAAGCAAAGTCCACCCCCATGAAGTTC